TGAAGCCACTTAATCAGTATGCTGGCTGACGAGCCGATGATGATGGTGACGGTGGTGGACTGTTAGGCTTCAGAAGGTTTTCTCCATATTTGAATGAGAATAGAACACTTTGAGCATCTTAGTAAAGCTAGGTTGTATCAGAACGATCTGTTTTCATATTGAGAATGTCAGAGTTGGATCCCACACTCTTATTTTTCTTAATTTTATTATTTTCTCTGGAAATGACAGGCAAACCCGTGCTAGGGGTCAGGAGCAGTCCCACTGACTACTTCATTGAAAACCACAAAGGTATGGCTTTGGCTTAACAGCCTATATTCACGAAAAACAAATTTGTCAAACCAAAATTCTACAGCTATACTGTAAACCTAGACCAACAGCATCTTCCAAAGCATGCGTGCCCCAAAAGCTAGACAAAATGTAAATAGCAATTCTACCTCTTTCATTTTGCAAACCTTGTATCCAGTTCCCACCATTATCGCTCCATTGGTGGTGTGCCAGCACGAAACTGGGATAACAGCAGGGAGTTGGGCCTGTTGGTTTCTTTCTAGCAAAAGAAATGGAAGTCAAAAAAACAAAAAGCACCTTTTAAAGCAAGCTCTGTAACAAAATCCCTTTGTGAATGTACTCAAATCAGCTCATGGAAATTTAGCCCAACCCAGAACACGTTCTTATTCATTAGACCAGGTCCAGCGTCTCTGGAGAGAATATCAAACACTATCTCAGAGGCTGTACTACCACAGCAAATGCCGAATATTTTCAGGAAAAAAAAGTCAAGAAGTGAATGTTAAACATGAAATAGCTGTGAATTTTCCGTTATAATTTTTTAAGTAAGGTTTCTTCATCTTCAGAAATGAGGGAAACTGAAGGCTAGGAATCACTTAGCTTAGCCAGCTGGTTATATCTATTTTAACCTGCCATGGTTGCTTGGGAGCTGTTTTGCTAATCCCTGCTTTGCCGTTAGGCTATATATTAGCAGGACGGCAATTGCATCACTGCACCATAGTTCAGCGTTGTGAATACAGAACGAGGCGAGCGCAGAGCTATCGGCGGCAGTACAACAGCAGATAATAAGACTCTGTTACCCAAGCAGAATGTGTTATGTAAAGACAATTGCAGTGTCGAAGCAATAGCTCTAATCAGGTTAATTAGGCTGTATTCATGTTTCATTTATGGTGCAAGTGCTCTGTAAATTCAAAGCAGTCTACCTCATCTTACTGCACTCCGTATGCAGCCGTCATGCTCTCTGCAACACTCACCACCATATTTTTTCTTCCTTTAAAAAAAAGGAAAATCCCAAGATATTTCCCATTGTTTTTTAAGAATTCCTTCTCTTCGTTGTTTATGGCTAAAAACAAATTAAAAAAAAAAAAAAAGGAAAAGATGCAGTTTGTGAATAAAGCCCCTGCCCACGTTAAAGTTCCTTCCTCTGCAACCAAATTAGCACTGGAAGTTGTTTGTGGAGGGCCTGTTTAATTGCATTTCATTTCTTTTTCATGTATTTTCTTGCTCACTAACGTGACACATTGAATGTTTAATAAAAATCGTATTGGCTTTAAAAAGTGTGTCTCTCACCTTTCCTCCTTTTATCCATTCCCTTAAAGTGATAGATTGCTTGTTTATTCCCTCAGAGCTAGCTGGAAGGACGTGCCTGCTCTGGAGAAGGGATGAGAGCCCAGTGCTGTGACCCTCAAACTCTAGCTGTGTCTCCTCTCCACTTACAGAATTTATTAGGTTGTCCCCTTAAAGTAATAATGGGTACAACAATTGTGAGATCACTTTCTCCTCGCCCCCAAGAAAACAAGCCTGTGTGGAGAGGAGTTATTACAAAGAGAGAGGACATGCTGCAGGTGAAGAGAACATGGCAGCCTGCACAGTCTTAATTATTTTGGCTAACTGTCTGGCAGGCAGGTGTCTACGTGCTGGTTGTGAGCTCAGACCCACCGTTCCCCGTTAAAAAAAGAAATGCAGTATTTTCACTACCCTGTTAGAACAAATGTATTCATATTATAAAGCCTTTTGTTAAACTTGAAAAATGTTGTAGCTGCATTTTCATCTCTGTGTCCCTTAGACGTCGTTTCAACAATGCTTCAATTAATAGTCTCCCTTATATAGTTCTGTGTATAATACATGTATTTGCTTACACCTTCTGTCCCCTGGAAGCGCGGGTAGCTGTGCACGACAGCACAACACTGCTGCGGAGGCCAGGCTGTGGCTGTGACGAGCAGTGCCATGGAAGCAGGGTGACCGAAGGAGGACAGCTTTGCACATTTCCCCTCGCAGTATGACGCTGCTGCTGGGCGTTTACTTCCATCCCGGCTGCAGAAGACGTGGCTGTCTGTAGGGCGCCTCTAACGACGTTTGAGGGTGCACGGGTGCCAGGCAAGATATCCCGCTGAATTCCACAGGGCCCGCAAGCGTGATGCATCTTGCCATATCTCACGCAAGTAGCACCCTAGAAGAGAACATCAGAGAAAATCCGTGTGCACTTAATTTTTCGCCATCTGAAACCACACTGAACCAGCAGCCCAATTATTAATCTCTTGTAACGGTTCGTATGTCTATCATCTATTTTTAAATATTTTACTAGACACACATTTCATTTCAAGGCAGGTCTGACTACTCATCCAGTTCCGTGTCTTTCCCTTTACAAAAGGAAGATGCGACACTAAAATTCTCAAGATTTCTGGAGGTCTCGTCAGCGAAGGTGCCCGAACGAGACAGCCCTGGCTTAGTTTTGCTAAGGACTGGCCTGGACGTTATTGCTACAAGTGGGAAATGCTGGATATATTTTCCCAAGAGTGTCAGCAGCCAGAGATCCATGAGAACCCGCTGAGGAGGACCTGGTGCTCCCCAACTCACTGAATTCTTTCTGGAAATGCAACTCATTTTTTATTAGATTCTTCTCATAAGCAAAGAAATTAATTTCCCTCCTGTTTGTGTAGAATAAGCTTTGCCCGTTAGCCAGAAGCTAACGTGAGGGTCCTATCGATGAGGTGTGTCTTCCCAGGCGTGGGTAACAAGATGTGCTTGCATAGACAGCCGTGATAGGTACCTTGGAAAGACAGGTTCTCGTTGCATGTCTGTGAGCTCTAAGGTATCTTAATCCTCAATCTACGAAATCAGTCACAAATTCTTCTGTAAAAGTAGAGTTTCAATGTGACAGGGCAAGGTGTGACTCCAAAGTGGTGACCCTTGGCAAGAGCAAATTATCAAGAGACTGAAGATGTGGCCGAAGAAGAGCCCAATTATTTCACTTATGATAGAGGAACTATTTTTATTTAATTTAAAATTTTAATAATTCTTTTAATAATTATTCTTTAATAATTAATACGATATAACTACAATGTGGAGAAACGGGGAACAAAATAGCAAGCAAGGTATTTTGAAAATGAAATTTCTGTTTCACATAGGAAGTAAAGTAGGTGAAATCATGAAGCTATTTGAAGTTGTCAGCGTTCATGACCTCAGAAATGTTTATTTTTTGATTGATCAATATGCGTTCTACAATGTGCCTATTTGTCGAAGTAACGTGCCAAAAGAAACATGTGATAGCACATGTCTTTATAAAAGAGAACCCAGCATGTTCACCTTTACTTTGTCCCCATCATGAGGGGCTTGATATTAGCCCTGGTTTTAACCCTGGTGGGTAAGTAACTTATCTGCTTTGATGGATTTAAAACAAGAGATTCAGGAAAAAGTTTTAGAATCTAAATATAGTTTACTTACAAACATTAATTTTAACATTTTATAGGAAAAGATTATTTTATGACAATTTCTTTGTTGTTTAGGGCAAAAAAGGGTTTTGACCATGTGCTGAACTAGAAGTAGAGCTAATTAGGGAGAGTTACGCTGTAGGTACAAGATGAGATACAGCCTTTCGTACTAAAATACATTAACATTTTGGGTGGGTTGTTTTGGTTTTTTTTTTGCTTTGTCATTTCATTACTCTTTTCTTTTTTTTTTTTCTTTTTTTCCCTTCTCTTTCAGGAAGCCAGCAACTTAATTACCGTAAGTAATTTTCCTATCAGCTAATATAATTATAATGAGTGAAATTCAAAATAGATTCTGAAAAGTATATCAATGTTTAATATAATTTTACAACAGCTAATTTTGTTCAGGTGCAATACAAAAATGAACAAATTCATCTTTTTTTTTTATCCCATACACTCTAATACAGGTAGTTAATTGTGCTCTGTACGATCTCTATAATGTTTTATGGGAACCATTTCTTTGCAGAACCCGATTTCAGTGAAAACAAGGTTTATACGTTTGATTATGAAAGCATGGTTCTCAGCGGACTGCCGGAGAAAGGACTTGCAAGAGCTGGAATAAGAATAAAAAGCAAAGTGGAAATTAGTGGTATTGGGCCAAAACTTTGTCTGATTAGGGTAAGAAAATGTATTCCGTTTGAAAAGTAAAATTCTCTTCGTACTTGGCTTCTTTTTTTAGGCTTTTGGGAAGTAATTAAGTTTCATCATGTGTTGTGTTTACTCGGGGAGAATGTAACTAACACTACTCGTTTTTTATGCAGTGCCCTAAATTCTATTTGCACTTTGCCAGGTAATTCTCAGCTCAAGCCAACCTTGGGCTTGAAGGATTTCTTCTGCTTTCTGGTCAGGGAGACAAAGGAATGTAATTTGAAATGCACAATCATTTGTTAGTGGATCAATCCAATTGTTCCAGACTGTAAGACCTAAGATTATTTAATCAACTGATTTCGTAACCAGCAAACGAAAGGCAATAAAACATGCTACGGTAGCTGGATGTGATTCAATATTTAGCATAATTAATGTCATCTGGTGGCTTCTTTTTCTGCAGGGTCCCAGATGACATTCTTTGTCATCCTCAGTTGTATATTTTTACTGCATGCTGAGTAATTACTAAGTTTTGATTATGTGAAAAGTGCTTTTGCCTTTACCGGAAGCCCATACGCGCTTCTAATGAAAGCATTGGAACGCACCCCTCGATTGCCTTACACAAACTCCACTTGGGCTTCTGGATCTATGGAAGAAAAATGATCTTTTATTTGGCCAATTGAAAACTGCAGATTAAAAAGACGGGTGACTGCCTGATAAATGCTGGTAAATGCTGTAGCCTTATAGCCTGAATTAGCCTTCTGTAACTAGGTAGTTTTGTAAGTTCAAATCGTAATAGATCTGGGCGGGAAATACTGCTTTTCCATGACCTTTGCAAATAGCTGGGTTTTTTTGGGAAAAAAAAAAAAAAAGGCAAAAAACCCAAGAAGGAAGAGCCACACGTCTGCACTGACTGGCCAGTAGAAGTCTCCCCGGGCAGAGAGGAGGCAGGAGCCGTCTTGTCCTCACCCCACGTCCTCCCCTGTTCCTGCCGAAACAGCTCGTGCTGTGCTAGGGTGAGTCTTCACCAAGAACTGACTCCTGTTCCCTGAAACCTTCCCACACCATTTCACCTGCCCCAGTGCATTGGGAAAAAATTTTCCATTTCAAAAATAAATACAGAAATAAATTCAGGCAAGAAAAAGAAGAGAAAAGAAAAAAAAAAAATCACGAGATTTTGGGACAAGTTCTAAGCTAAAGGTAACGATACATTTATTCCCTTCTGCTCTGGGAGAAGTTTATTTTGCTGCTGTTATATTTAAATTAGATGGTTCGGAGGGATGGTTCAGGGAATTAATCTTTCATCTGCAGCCTACCACTTCGCAGTCAGCCCGAGCAAAAAGCTGTGCTCCCTGGGCAGTTTCCAGCTGGCGAGATTTTCATCGCAAGCCCCCAAGTCAGGGTTGCCAGCTGCGTTCCAAACCTTGCAGACAGCCCGAGTCCTGCCTGGGCCCCGCGGGCCGGGGAAAACTGGAAAACTGCCTGGCCCCGACCCCCGGGGCACTCCCCAGCCTGCCCGTGTGCCGTACGCCAGCAGCGTGGCCGAGGGGCAGCGGGAGGGATTTGCTCCGTAACAGCCTCCCCTGCAAGCTTCAGCTACCGGGGCTGGCAGGGATCTCCGCCACCAGCAACACAAACAAGTAGGAAAGCGCAGTCTCCGGCGGTTTGCTGGGTGAGGGTTTAGTTTGTGTGGCTTTTCGAGAAATTAATCCGCGTCTTGCATCCCATCGCCAGCCTGAGGTGTCAGAGAAACGTCTCTCTAAGTTGTCAAAGTACATAGAAGGGAAGGCTCCTCGGAGAACCCGGGCTAAACATGGCCCATTCCCGGGGCACTCGAGTTATGCACGGTTTCGCTCGACTTTCTGCTCGCCTGGACGTGCCGCAGGTGAGGGCTGGGGGGTGCAGCGCAGAGCGGGGCTGGGGCCAGAGCCCGAGCCTTCGGCGCCGCAGCGAGGTGGGGAGGGAAGGGCCGTTGCTGCAACCCGCTCCCCACCACCCAGCCTAATCACGCCGATCTGGCCCAGCAGCCGTGTTGTCTTTAGTTCCTCACTGCTGTCTGGGCTCTGTGACCCCGGCGAGGGAGACGACGGAGTTCGCCGCAGAAGTTAATGACGCTTCATGCAACGTTAACTTCCTCCCGCCATTTCCCGCAGCTCTCCCGCACTACTTTTGGGTAGCAACCGGCCCCGTGCGGCTCTCCTCTGGCTCGCTTCTTCACACGAGCTCGCCTTTGGCAGTGTGGATTATCTATGAAACGGAACAGAGCCCAGTGGCTGTGACAATATCGCATTTGCATTACTCTTCCCGTTAGAGATGGAAACATGTATGTCGATACTGGCTACGTTAAACAACGGCTTTTAAGTTTTCCCCTTGAGGAGGCTTTGTGGTATTTAAAAGTGCATTTTAGATGTGAGTAAAGCTCTAGATGCTATGTGCATTGAAAAAGTGAACGGAAAAAAAAGTGAAGAGGAGTTGTGTTCCCCCTTTGTTCTAGATTCACTCAATCGAGGCAGCAGAGTACAACGGCGTCTGGCCTGCGAGCTCGTTCTCTCGATCGCTCAAACTGACCCAGGTACTAACTGGGCAACTCAGTAACCCCATCAAGTTTGAGTACAGCGGTGGCCACGTTGGAAACCTTATGGCTCCTGATTCGGTCTCGGATGATGGACTGAACATCTACAGAGGCGTTCTGAATGTGCTGGAGCTGAGCCTAAAGAAGATGCAGCACTCGTACAGCTTGCAGGAGGTGAGCTTTCTGGTTTGCTGGCCACTGTGGTTGCTTTGTAAACAAATAAGCCGTCTCTTCAGATTCTTCTGCCCCGTTTCGTGAATTCATCCTTGGCATAAACCTCACTATCAAGAAACACCTGAGCTTGGGAAAGGGTCATTAAGGTGTTCTTGGGGGACAACATTGGATGGAGCTGTAGATAGACAGGACAAGAGAACAGCAGATTTTTAATCTCACTGATCAAAGTACTTCAGAAAATATGTTTGCAGTATTGGAACCTTAGAAAATCTGGCTTGTGGTTCCAGAGAAAGTAAACTCCTGTGAAAGCCGAAGCCTGCTTAAAATTTGAACACTGTATTAGAACAAGCGTAAACATGCAGCACAAGAGCAAAGCTGAAATAACAGTAATTTGACTTCTTTACCAATCATATATACTTTAATCTCTTCTAGCTCCTCTTTTGGGAGGAAAACAGTATATATGCCATGACATTACTGTAATAGCTTTGACAGTTGCAGTTGATGCTCTGTTGGAATTTCCACTGTTTTCCAGGTTTTAATATCTTAGTCAAGGTAAATCATCTGATATTACTATTCACCACAGAAATTGCAATGTGTTTAGTTTTTCTGAAACCGTATTTACATTGATTAGACTACATTAAATTCAGAGATCAGCAAAGACCTTGAAATTATTATACTTTCATGTTATTTTTATTGAAAATGCAGACCGGAGCGATTTTAATTTTTTAAAAATTTATTTTTATGTAAGTAGAGTTGTTTCTGGGAAAGGAACTATGTGATTTAATATTTTCACGCCGCTTGTTGCACATAAAAACCCGGGTGGTGGTGTCGCGTATTCTGTGGTGCCGCTTTCTCGTATCTAGTTTTACATCTTGATCCTTTCTAATGCGGTTAGCTGTACGTCCTGCTCCCGCTGCTGAGCAGCACACGTGACTTCACCTCCCGGAATCGTTTCCAAGTTCTCTGGCCTTTCCCAGACAGCAGCTGATTAATGAGCATGGGCACATGCGTGACAACCTCAAGTCACTCTGTAAAGGAAGATAAGCATTGCTAGTCCCAAAATCCGAGCTGCAGAGAGGTATAAAGGACCAACCGGGGAGAGTCTACATCACACCCTGCGGGGGGTGGGGTAGGGGTACCTGAGCTAGCCAAGAACTGCACGCATCTGGAAGTCCAGCCAGGCTGGACTTTGTCCCACGGAGCCCGCGGGGCTGGGCATTCCCTTTTAAAGTCTGGAGGTCCCTGCCACACCCTGCAGTCCGCAGAGGAGCCCCACGCCCCTCTTTGCAGGTACAAGTCTTTCAGAAAGCTGGGGCAATTCTGACTTCCAGCCCTTACCGAAGCCACAGTGTCTTCGGGAATGCTGTTAAGCTAAAGATGAAGTGGGTATGTCTTGTCTCCTAACCACCACATGGCCATTTTTCTGTTCTGACATAGCCCAGAGCCGCTCTCTGGAGCGGCTATGCTATCAATAACAATAAAAAAAATCATGAAAATAACCCTTCCTCCCAAAATGCAATCAAATATTTTCCTCTCCAAAAATCTCCTCACTGACTGAGGAGATTTAAGAGCTTTTATAAATATATATGCTTGAAATATTATTGAAGATCTGAGCTAAAACCCTAAACTCAAGAAAACCCGCAATCAAAACTCTGCTATCCTGAAATTCTTTTTAATTATTGCTGTTTGTGTTGTGACAGATCATCTGATATGGCATGGCCTGTTCCATAGGCATTTATAAGCTGTCTATGAAAGCAAATTTTAAGGGCAGAATGTAATCTCCAACCTTAAAATACTTTGCTGCTGAGATTTTATTCCGACTGATCAAATTATTTTCGCACTTTTTATTAATATGCTTCAAATTGTATTTTATAATCAACAGCTCTAACTGGAAGCGGTTACTCACCTTTTCTGAGGCTCCAAAACTTGTCTCAGTGAAACTGTTGAGAATTTTGGGTCTCTCAGTGAAACTCTGATTTGGCTTACTGGAAACCTGAACATGTGAAAAAGAGATGAAAGTCAGGATCATCCCAAATTCACTTCTGGAGAGCCCCATGAGTTAAAAAAGCATTCATTGCTATCAGGAACTTCAAAAATACAGAATTAAAGAGGACAGTCCATGTGGGGAATTAATGAAGCTTTGCATAAGAGTGAACTTCTCTGATCACGTTCTCCTTTTTGCCAGGCCGGACTTGGGGGCATTTGCAACACAACGTATGCAATTCAGGAAAACAAGAGAGCAAGCCTGGTCTACGTGACCAAATCCAAGGACCTGAACAGCTGCGAAGAGAAAGTTCAGATGGTCACAGGTTCAGCGTACACGCGGCCGTGCCAGCCCTGCCAGCAGGTAAATCAGGGTGGCGTTACGCACGCGTGTTCACGGCCTGGTACGGCGAGCTCTTGGGCACCCGCGCCGTCTCTCGCTGGGTAACACCTAAAACGGGAGAAGGCTCAGAGCTGCTGCTGTCAATGTTTTCTTTCCGGATGGCAATCGGGCCCCCAGAGCAGCAGAGCTCTGTGCTGCAGGCTGTCGTGTACCGCAGGCGTGCTTCAACCAGCTCAGGCTAGCTGGCTTGGAAACCATTAATTATCAGCATGAGTTAATTCAGCCACGCTGTTGAGTGACAAAGATAGTCACGATGTCGGTTTCTGCTATCCAAGACAGGTACTGCTGCATCTTGTTATGATCCTGTCTTTGAAATGAGAAATCGTGTGGCTTATACTGCTGATCTCCTCAGAAAATGTGTCTCCTCCTCAAGGGAATAACCAGTTACTGATATTTGGGAAAGGGGAAAACCAGCTAACACCTCTTAGCAGTAGAAGTGCTGGAGCCAGGCGGCGTGCCTGACCTCTCCCATGGAAGCAGAATTCCCGTGAACTGCTCGTATGGCCAAGGAACAAAACAGCCCTGGCGACCAAGTGGGTGGAAGCGGGTGTTGTAATAGCTTCTAGTCACAGAATTCAGAAGGTCAATGGCATTCTATTTTCTTTGTTTCTTTGCTTTTTTATATTATAAAGAGAAACAAGAATTCCCGGGCAACTGCTACTTATGATTACAAAATTAAATACACGCGTAACGAAGCTGTGATCACACAAGCTGATGTTGAGGAAATCCACCAGTTTGCACCATTCAACGAGATAACGGGAGGAAATGCTGTAGTAGAAGTGAGGTACTGTACATATGCCTTTAATTCAGCAACTAACTCAGCATCTCAGTAATCTGGTCAAACTCCATAACTGAAATAAATCCTTTACTTCCACAGCCTATTGTTTGCCAGTATTTAATTACGTAAAATCCCAAACAGTTCATAAAAACAACCTTCACTGTTAGTTGTAAATCTGAAACATGCACATCACTATCCAAATTTTGTTAGCTAAACTTGGCAGGGTTTGACTATTTTATTTCTCAGGGATATTTGATTTATGTCATAAAAGCCAAAACAAATGTAATTCCATCTGAAAAATTGTGAACTAATATATTTGCAGTAAAATACTTTGAAAGACAGTTACTCACTGAAAGAGAGTTCCCAGGAAAATAATAATGCGGTAAGAGACCCTGGAGACTACTTCACAAGAAACCTAGATAGGACTTTGGATTCCAATATACTTCCTAAGTACAGTGGGCTGCCTGCAAATCTCCCATCAAAACTGTTTCTCGATAGGAAATTGGGTTTTATTGCAAAAAGGTTGGGCCCAAGGCATGTAAAATGTATGTGCTTTTCCACGGCAAATTTTGCATATTTCTGGAACAAGTTTGGGGCAAAATGAGAATAGGGTTGTCTAAGAAATTCTACCCCTGCCCGTTTTCAGATCAAGCCCCCAGACTTTGTGTTTGAAAATTTTTTTCATTGGCATCAAATTCATCAGTTGAGAAAACTGTTAGTTACCTGCTTTAGCGATGGGCGGTGTAGGCAGGAGCGCCCTGCCGGAGGGGGAGGCTTGTGGCGTGAAGGTCACTGCGCAGCCGATGCGCCCCGGTCCCACTCCTCAGCTGCCGTCATCTCGCGCGGCTCCATCAGCCTCTGCAGGAATCCGTGGGTATGACACAGCTTTGGGAGCTGCAACATCATGTCAATAAATCACTGATTAACTTTATTAATATGATGAACATGTTCCGTCCAGCTAACAAAAAACCCCCACGCAAACCAGTAAAGGTGAAAGTGGCTTCAGTGTCTCACACGGTCAAGGAGAAGATGGATACAACTGCCGTGGGTTTATCAGATTATAGATTGTTGTGAGTGAGCCTTGGTCTGGAGCCGAGTTAAACTTTTGCTGAGTTAACGCCCCTGCAAGCCTGCATTGACTGCCTTCCTGACGGTTCTCCGCAGGTATAGAGCCCCCAGAAAAAGTAGCGCCTTTACTGTTCCCATTTTTCTCTGCGCCTTTTGCATTGCCCAGCAGAAGGGGCCAAATATAAGATAGCGGGGAAGGTGTGGATGTGTCACCCACGGCCTCAGAATTTATTTCTACAATGCACTTTCTGTGGTTAAAAAAAAGAAAAAAAAAAGAAAGAAAAAAACTCTGACATCAAGAACTTAAAACATTCCGAGCTGAGTTTTCAGACCTGTTCAGCATAAGCCTCTTGCAGCATCTTTCAAAACCAAGAGAGGTTTTACTGTTGTTTCACCGTTTTAATCTTATCTTTAGTATTCATTTGCTCTTCAGAGTATAGCATTTTCCCATCTATTCTAGGCAGATATATCTCTTCCTGAAATGATGGAGATGAAGACATAATAGATTCACCGTTGTTCTAGAAGGGGGAGTTAAATCTGTCCAAGTGTACCTGACGCTCTACTTTCTGACCCAAATGCTCTTTCAATAATGTTGTATAAAATTTCAAGAGAGAAAAAAATCTCTGCTGATTCTGTAGTGATTTCTATTCAAATTCCAGTGCCTTGTCTGCAGAGCAGTTATATGCTATTTTCTGCAGCAGTTCTCTGCAATCCATATGGAAGGAGTGGATAGAAATGATACAGAAGATCATCATAGAGATTCCAAAATAAACACGCCAATTTTCTACAGAGATTTTGACATACTGTGTAGTACAGCAATATTGCTTCTGGAATGTTTTCAGTTGTTCAGTGCGAATGCCTAACTTTATTATAGTGTCCTAAATGACCTATTTAAAACATAATTGGTGCAATAGGACGCATCCCCTTTTGCTGAAATTGTAACAAAGATAGCAAATATTTGCGAAGACAGTCTGTCATTGGAATTATTCTTAATAACAAAGGATGAAGGTTTGGTGCTCCTTGAAAAGCTTCCAGAAACTTGTGTATTTTTCCAAAGACTAATCCTGAGCTTATCTGGCCCTTTTTTGTTTGGGAAAACCAGTTTAAAACTTCGTGAGAACCTTTTATCTTCTGCAGTCCCCAGGACGTTCCGCTTGCCAGGCAAAATGGGGAGGGAATTTTAATAGTGCAAGTAAAAAGATTGGAGCATTTCTTATTGTCTCTAACAATTTTCAACCCTTTTTGAAGATTCCAGGAGGCACAGACATGTAAGAATTTTTATGAACTTCTTAAAAGGTCTAAATTACGTGATAATATCTGAAAAAGTTTTCCATCAGTTATTTTTCTGTAATCCTTAATTTACGCCTTAGGACACACCACCTAGTTCCTGTGACCTTCTTCAGGCCACAGCTTCTCACCTCCCACTTCCTCCTTAAATTCTCAAGCCACGTTGCTCCCGAAGGAAGGCAAAGACTGCCTCTGACCTGAGCCCTGCTGTGTAAGTGCCCACCTTCTCAGAGCACGGTCCTGAGC